TCTTACACTAGTGTAAGATTTTTAAACTTACACTCAATCATACCACTTATGTACCTTAAATCCAATGGCTGTAATCTATTAAAGATTAGTGAGCACGTGACATCCTTTTTTATTTTTTATTCTAACACACTCTCTCTCAGCAACACAGCCACCACCTTAACTCTTCCCCCTCTTCTCTATCGGCATCTTCAACCGCCTCTTCCACCTCGCTCACAACTTAGTCAACTTTGTCATGGAATATATCCTACATTCAATACTCCCCTCCCCTCAAGGATTTGTCGATCTCCCATGTTATAGGTATGCGAACCCTAACAGTAATCTTCCTCTGATTATTCTTCTCTTCGTATTCCTGGATTTTAGTTTGGGTTTTGGGTATAAAGGCAATGGACAATGGGAACTAAAAACGTGTATTTTTTTTAAAAAAATTCTTTTGAAAATTTACATTGAAAGAGGAGGCTGGTTTACATTCGATTTTGTCCCCTTGTTTCCATTTTTCTTTCCCAATGCATATGTTGTGAAAAATGAGAAATTATCTCAACTGGGCTATCATGTTGGTTATGCCCACAAATCACAATGTCCCTAATAAACTTATTTTATTTTTTGTTTTTGTTATTTTAAATTTACAATCTGATTTACACTTATCACTTCTTGTCTTCAAGGCAATAATTATAAGATAGTCTCTATATCCTTGCAAATTGAACCTTTGATGATTTTTTTATCTGATTTCTCAGGCTAGTAGTTTTTCTTGCACATTGGTCATTCTCAAATTTTGTCTTGTGGACTTGGCGCAAACATGGCTTGTTGACAATGCCTCCACAACTAGAGGGCTACTGCTAAGAATGTTGTTGGTGGTTCTAGAGATGAAGAGGATAAAGATTAAATTAGGAAGAGGAAAAACTGTCTTGGATATTATTTTTGAACAGTTTTTTTTAGAAAAAAAGTATTAGGTTTTTTTGGATGCTCACGGCCATCTCTTTTTTTAATGGTTATAGATGCAGATATGGTTGATACGGAAAGTGATGCTCGACATCCTGAGCGTATGGTAGAAGTTTTTTTCTTGACTTCTACTATATTATCATTTTTCACCTTATTTTCACTTTCTCTAACACATACAAAAATGTAATAATTTTTTTTACTAGAGCGGGTAAGAATTCCAAACCCTTTTGCTTTGGCAAATAACGTATAAAAATGTTCAACTTTTTTCAATGAATCAAATTCCATTCCAACATAAGGCTCAACAATGACTTCTTCAACACTAAAAGATTGTGGCATATCAAGAGAGTTAGAATCTATTACCAAGTTGTTATCCGAAATGACATTTGTCTCCATGTCCGTGGGAGAAAAATCAATTGTGTCTATATCCATCATTTGCTAACCCGAAAACAAAAATAGATGAAACCATATAAATATAGTTTTCATAAGTTTTACAACAGTTGTCAATGGTCATTGAGTGCAGTAGTGAAGCAATCGTGTCCTTGTCTATTTTTTGTCATTCTTAATCGAAGAAGTAAAGTTTTGAATTGTTTACGGATAACTTTTAAAAAAACTTAGAACTTTTATTTTTATTTTGTGATAACAGGCAATTATTATAGAATTTATGGAAATACATTACAAGAGTATCACAATTAAATGAAAAAAAGAAGAAATATAAGAGTGTCAGAGGCTCACAGCTAAAGTACTATACAAGAGTATCACAATTAAATGAAAAAAAAACTTACCTCTTGATATTGCATGAACCGTTCTCTTTAGTTCTCACAAACTTCTTCTTCAAAATTTCTAAAGGGGCGCTTGTGCAAACTTTCTTGTTTTCTGCTTACACTTTCTCGCTGATTTCGTTTCTAACTTCTAAATTTTTTAACAAAGCATGCAAATGGAAAAGGGAAAAACTCACAAGAGGCAAATGCAAACGCCGATAAAGAAGAGGGGGAAGAGTTGCGGTGGTGGCTGTGTTGTGGGAGAATGTGTTAAAAAAATGGAAACAAGGGGGACAAAATCGGATGTAAACCAGCCTCCTCTTTCAATGTAAATTTTCAAAAGATTTTTTTTAAAAAATACCCGTTTTTAGTTCGCATTGTCCGTTGCCTTTATACCCAAAACACAAACAAAAATCAAGGAATACAAAAAGAAGAATAATAGGAGGAAAATTACTATTAGGGTTCGCATACCTATAACATGGGAGATCGACAAATCCTTGAGGGGAGGGGAGTATTCAACGTAGGATATATTCCATGACAAAGTTGACTAAGCTGTGGGTGAGGTGGAAGAGGCGGATGAAAACGCCGATAGAGAAGAGGGGAAGAGTTACAGTGGTGGCTGTGTTGTTGAGAGAGTGTGTTAAAATAAAAAATAAAAAAGGATGTCATGTGCTCACTAATCTTTAATAGATTACAACCATTGGATTTAAGGTACATAAGTGGTTATGATTGAGTGTAAGTTTAAAAATCTTACACTGGTTGTAAAAATAATAAGTCTTACACTAAATCCTAACCATTGATTTTCTGCATCTAATGGATAAGATTTATTAGGTCTCACTCATTAATTAATTTTTAGTTCCCAATAAATCTCAACCGTTAAATGCACAGAAATCAACGGTTAAAATTTAGTGTAAGATTTATTATTCTTACACCGGTGTAAATTGATCTTATCCCTATATATATACAAACTTACAAACTACACTAAATCTGACTAGTTAGACACTCTTAATTGAAGTATGACAAATCAGACTTAGTATAGTTTGCAAGAAAAAAAATTTGTCAATATAATTCCTCCTGTGCATGGCACTTGAATAACAAGGAAGGGGAAGAATTTGGGTTTCGCTGTGCTTTGATGTGAAGATGAGTGGGAGAAAGGAATGGAATGGTATGCGACGTCGTTTTTCCAAAGCCAACCTCAAAGGTGTGAATATTGTATACATGACACACCATACAATGTGCATTCTGAGTATGTCCAATAAGTTTAACAAAGAGAACTTAACTGAGGGATTGATACGACTAATATTGGTGGGTTATTAGAGACCACGAGGACACATTTTGTGTTGTGAGGGACTAATATGCTAGTATCCAAATTTCTTATGAACGAATTTGAAAGTTTATTCAACACATTTAATTTTTTTTCTAAGAAAATACATGTAATTTATAAATTTTAATTTTATTCACTTTTTTGTAATATAAATTGAGTAAATATTAATAATGTGAAACTCTATACAGTTAAGGTAAAATAAAGAAAGTGAAAGTAAGTAAAGTATTTCACTTGTAGTAAAGAAAAAGAGAGAGAAGAAAAGAGTATATTACCATCATAAACTTTGACCTTTTATTATATTACTCTTATGTAATAGGAGATATATTATCTCATGTTGTAGATATAATCATGTAGTAAATCTCATTATTTATTAAAAAAAAAGAAGTACAGAAATCGATTAGTGTGTAGGAAGTTATATTATCTCATGTAACATAGGAGTAATATAACCCATAAATTAATTGATATCTTGAACTCAAAATTTTCATATTTAACATCTAATCTATGATTATTCCACTATTCAGTCGTTATACCTTCAAATGACTTCAATTACCATTAACTAACAACAAGAGTTATGACATGACACAATTATAACCTTCTAATTGTATGAGGTCTGCAATCTCCATTAAACATTAAAATGTTTATCTTATGTGTACTTTAATGTTTATAATATAAATAAAGGATTTATCGTTTCCTTTTTCACATTAGATAAAGTTATATTCTACAACTCTAAAATTATATCATTTTGAGAGTTGAAAGAATTAACGAAAGGTGTTTTGGTAAAATATTTTTTTTTTGTTGGAGTTACCCAACCCTAATTATCTCTTTGAGACGAGTTGGTTCCCTCCGGTATCCCCACGAGCTTCGACTCTTTGAGCCGGCTATGAGACTAATCCGGAGTGCGGGGGAACAGTGATAGCTAAAGGTTCAGCTCCCTCCCCAAGAATGCATTCAGCGAGAATCGAACACATATCCAATCCCACTAACTCAGCGCCAAGTTACCAACTGAGCTGCACCCATTGGGTTTTGGTAAAATATTTTTTCCATTAAGTAAATAAGATTTTGAAATAATTATATCTAATATATAATAATAAAAATGTTGAAAAGATATTTATAACAATTTATTTATTTTATTAATTAAAAATTATTTATTTATTTAATTACTGTCATACTATCTATTAATATAAATATATATTAATTAATATTAATGAATGTGTAGATGGCTTAAATAATATCATACTACAAAAATTGTAACTAATAAAGTTAATATTAAAATAAAAAAGATTCGAATAAGTATTATTTTACATTTTAATTATCAGACTACAAAAATTGTAACTAATAAAGTTAATATTAAAATAAAAAAATTCGAATAAAGTATTATTTTACATTTTAATTATTAAATTAATTTATTGAATTATTATGATATATATATATATATATATATATATATATAAGAGAAGATTATATTTACAAATTCTTACAAATTATATTATGTCTGACCGATTATACACTAGTATATAACCGATCATATTTAGTGCAATTTGTAAACGAATTCTTCTTTATATGTATATATATAATTACTTTAGATTTTATTTATTCATCTATTTTGTAAGAATTAAAGATATAGGTGATCTGCAAATAAAAGATTAAATATTTTTGTTCCAGATACATGATTTTTGAAAATAATATGAGAACGTTAATTTCTCAAAAATATTACAATAAAGTTATTTGATAAGTGCAAATTTTTTTAAAATTATTTAATTAAATTTACTGAATCTGTATTTAATTGATTATGAAATATTACAGAAAATATAAGATTATTTTTATAAAATATATTGTTCTCTTTCTTACATTCACTTTTTTCATATCATTAACAAGGGATAGACACGTAGCAATCTCAAGTCTATTTTCGTAATTGCGGTTTTTTTTTCTTTCGCCGAAAGCCAAAATACCAACATTAATAATCACAACTCACAACGTACCGAATCATAATGACAACGGATAATTACAAAAAGATACAGGTAGCGTACAACGTAGAAAGGAAGGAATAGGTTGTTGGAATTGGAAGACAAAAAATCAGGAACTTTCCGATTCATCGTACTGACTTTTGGAACACAAAAATATAAGTCCCTTGAAATTTCGAGGAAAATCTCAATCTCAAGAGCGAAGATGATGCACATGACCTTTTATTGGGGAAAAAAAGTGACCCTTCTAATCGATTCCTGGAAGACCGATTCATGGACGAGTTTTGCACTGAGTTTACTCGCGTGCCTCGTGGTTTCCGCTTTCTACCAGTATCTGGAGAATCGCCGGATTCGCCTGAAGCTCATCGCCGGCGAGAAGAGGCCCTCTGCGGTGGCGCCGGAGATCCAAACCCCTCTTCTGCGATGGAATGTCGCCGGAGATAAGGCCAGGTTAGGGATGAAATTCGCCGAAGCGATTCTGTTCGGGGTGAACTCGGCGATTGGGTATTTGTTGATGTTGGCCATCATGTCCTTCAACGGAGGGGTCTTTGTGGCCATCGTGGTGGGTCTCACACTTGGTTACTTCTTCTTCAGGACTGAAGGCGAAGATGCCGCGCTTTTCCTTGACAATTCTTGTGCATGTGCTTGAGTGTTTGATCTGAGAAAAAAGTTAACTGTTTTTGCATTGCAATTCATTTCCTGTGATAATATAGTGAATGGGCTTGTTCTCTTCTTCTTTTTCACCTTTCTGTTGTTTATGTAATTTTGTGTTGATAAATATCTATGTATTGTTGTAGTTGTTATCCTAGAATACTATGAAAAGTTAACTTTTGTATTTGTGGTTATAATTTCACCTAGTTTTAAAGATCCTCTTCTCTGTTGAGGGAGGCTTGCTTCAACTTCAGGAGAACTTCATCAAATCTAAATAGCCTTCGGTCCGCTTATTACAAGTTATAGTAGGAATCAAGGGTGCAAAAGGGGCAAAAAAAGAATAAAGGAAAACGTACTGAACATATGTATTTTACAGTCAATTACCTTTATTGCCGGAGGTGTGATACAAATACCCAGCAAATCTGGAAAAGTTGTTTAGCAATTTGTAACAATCTGAAAGTGCACCTAGCCTATAAAACTAGGAAAATTAAGAAAACTTTCTATTACCGAAATTAGCAAAAAAATACAAGGGTAAAGATGAATCACGGGGAGAGACGTTGAGCCTTTTCGGCAAAATTAAAAGCACTTTCTGCAGTCACAGGTAGTCTTCAATTTGAGAATAACAGCTTCCAAAGACAAATTCCAGATGAACTGGTACATCCTCTGATTGTTTGAGAAGGATCCTCGTCAGTACAAGATTCAGTGTGAATGATTCACCTAACTGATGCAGCAAAGCAACATATAACCTGGAATTATGGCTGCCAGCAGATCCTCTGTTGTCTATTAAGCAGCATCTCAGTAAATTAGAATGAAAAATGTCAAAATATAGTACGAAGGATATTCACTATCGCTGATCTTCAGTTTTTAACAGAACTAGTTCACTTTCTTGCTGTAGGTTCTTGTACTTAAAATTGTTAGGTAGCCATCTGTTTAATCTCTCAGGCCAGAACCTGGCAAAAAAAAAAGGTAGCAAATTTGGTTATTTGTGTTAAATTAAATGTGCTAAAATAAGCAAGAACAAAGAAGCAATTATATCAAAAGAAGGTAAAATTGAACAAATGATAAACTTCAATTTTTTTTAGATGGAAAAAGGAAACAATGACCTCATAGATTAATAATTTTCAAGTTATCATTTAAATTAAAGTCTATGGTGCACGGGCACCCACACAATTTGGGTGCACTGGTTCAACACATAACACGGGCTGTTGGATAAGAAATGTGTAAATGAATGGGTATGCATTAAGTTGCAAGTCACACAGCCACTAATTTCTGCTCCCACCGCACCTTCATTTTCGTCCTTTGTTATGCAGTGATGAAGATTGATTCTGAATGAAAGGTGATGAAGAGGTGACGGTAGCACCAAATAGGTTGTGTGAATGGCCACCCGAGGATACAAACCTCCTCATAATCCATAGCTATCCATTTAGAGAATAGCAATCCAACAGTCTAGGTTATGAGTTGCACTGGGGCACCAAATGTGGGTGCACCATAGACTTGCATATAAAGTTCTCAAACTATAAGATGACAAGTAACCTAATTATAGTTTTTCTATGTGATAGTACAACATCCACCAGATTGGCTGAGTAACCTGAAGAAGATGAGGAGGTTGGGAGAATAGGCAGAGAACAAGAGTGGCTGAGTAAGTGTTAAGATACAAGTTTTGCCAGGCAAAGTGCACAAAAAGGCAAGGCGGTAAAGCTAACACAATTAGATTGGCCACGAGAGTGCACAAGTTAAACTCAATAGGTGATGAGGATATTACAATTAGACTGGCCTAGAAAGTCAAAAGAACAAGGTAGAGATGATCAAATTCATTGGAGTCTGTCAAAGAAGAAAGAATAGAATCAGGACTCACTTTTCCAGTCTTTCACAAACTGCCCGACGAACAGAAGAATTGAGGCCATATGCAATTGAGTTGAAGAGGCCCTGCAATAAGTAGACAAAGTAATGAACCTTAGCAAGATGCCGTAATAGTACTTTTCCCGATGTTGCACTTGATGTTCACTCTTCACATGACATCGAATGTGTACTAAGGGATGCCAATTACATAAACTGGAAAAGCATAGAAGATTCCAGCAAAATGGAAAGTGATGAACTTACATAGTATTGATGAACCAAGTTAAAAAATGTTTCAGAGTGCCAGTGCAAATGGGGAAGTTTCCATAGTATTGATGAACTTACAATCATGCTATAATTGAGGTGAGGATGACCACAAAAAAAATCTTAAATTGCCATGTTGTCCTCTAAATCAATTGTGACTTTGGCATCATCTACTTGTGTTTAAATTGTAAAAATTAACCTCCTAATTTTCATATATTACCCCAAAGAAAAATCATCAACCAATTAGAGCATGCTGTTTAAAATGGAATTATATCACACTACAAAACCTTGAAAAGCATTTAACTTATTGCACTGATACTGGTTAGGTAACCAAACATTGGGAAATACCTCTTATAAGCGAGTAAAATCAGAATTGCATTCTTGCTAATATATGTAATGCAGTGTAAAGCACATGATGCTCAAATAAATTATTATATTTTTATTCAAATATGTTGAAATAACAAGTATGAACAAGTTGTACCCAGATTTTCACACCCAATAAAGTTGAATGTGTAAAATTATCAAATCTCAAATATTTTAGATGTATCCGGGTTTCGAATTAGATAATGCATTTTGATCTGTTATTACCACCATATTAAGCCTCATTATTGGAGAAAGTAAAATGCTCATAACTGGGAGCAAGGAGATGGGTAGAACTGACATAAGATTATAAGTGAGGATTTATCAATGAATGACAACCATGCTGGGTTTCCAGACATTCAGTGACTGGAAAATAAAGCTGAAAATAGTATGGATACTCGTTGATACCATAAGAGCAGCCGTTCCAACATCAAGAAGTGAGAGCCAGAAGATCTTATGGCTGGGTTCAAAAAAATCATGAATACGGTTAATAGTGCCAAAAGCCCATGATCCTATTAGAATTAGGGGATAGTATCCCCAGCGATTCAGAGCCTGCAATGTAAAACAGAAAATACTAAAGTATTGTTCAATGGGAATGTAGATGCAACAGATAATTATAGTTTCATCTTAAGCAATTGGTTTAAGCATGGATATAAATTTACTCATGAAAATCCCAACAAAAAAAGTAAGTGGTAAACATTAAAAATCACATAATAGAGTGCTAGTTTTAATTTTTATCAATGACAAAAAAAGTAAGGGATAAACATTAGAAATCACATAATGGAAATATCTAATCTATCTACAGCATTTGAACAAAAAATAGAATACAACTAATAAGCCACATGACCGAACTTAAAATATAAAATACACACAAACGATGACTAGATGAGAGTAGCTAGGTACAACTAAAAGCTTTTCTCGTGGGTTTTTTTTTTTTTGAGGGAAGAGGGAGGGGGGAGGGGTATTCCTAATCTGTGTGTACGGATCTTTATATTTCAAATCTTGTAAACAATAAAAGTATAAAATACCCTCATGTTGTCTCTTGCATCTGAGACATGAGCTTGGCCTGACATACCAACCGCCATCTGAAATTTGCCAAGAAACAAGAAATAAGGTCTCAAAAAGTGCCTAATTCATTCTCTGTTTGAAAAAGAAAAAGCAAAACTAGATACATACACGGGTTGCATTATTCAGCATGCGTATGACTTGCAAGTATGTAAACCCATTATATAAAATAGCTCCCCAGAGTGGCATGTAAAATGTTACAAAATGAACCGCCTGCATAGAAAAAGGAACCTTCTTTCAGAGGACAGGAAAAAAGAAGAAAAATTAGCAGACCTAGACTATCCTGATGACAAAATACATATATAAACACAATAGATATGCAATCCAAACTTGCAGAAAATTGGGAGGTGTCCGTTGTTAATCTGCTTTCTTTCTAATATTCATTACTGTTGAGATATATAAAACCATTAATGTAGCCTCACCCAAAAGCTTAAGCTTTTGGGTTGAATTGGTTCTTTACAATTACCATCACAAGCTTCTTTTGGATAATGCCATAATGAGGAGCATCCTAGTCCCTTAACAAAAATGTGGATATAATGCTGTATAGAATTTTTAACTGTCTGTAAACATTTCTTGCATGGATTTTTCTCAGCTGTTAACTTTAGCTGCTTTTCATATTAATAAGTACATATTTGATTTTGAAGAATAAAGAATTGCAACATGGAATATATTCTTCTCATAGGAAACCAAGTCCTTAAATTCATTTCCAATCCATTTGCATTTATAGGATGTCAAATTATACAGATATAAAAAAAAAAGGAGTTGACACTAAAACATGTAATTCGGATATCTACACCATTATAGGAAGGGGATTCCCCCCTTGGAGTCTTTGTTACTTTTCCTGAAAAGACTAATATTTTATTTTTACTATAACCTAAAAGGGGGGACAAATCATCATTACAAATTAATCACAAATTGCCACAACTTGACCCCTCCTACAGTTATGGAAGAAAACTTCCATGCCTTAAAAAAGTCAATTTCAAGTCAATTTACATTAATGTTTAGATTGAAAAGGGGAGAAAACTTCCCTGCATTACAGGTGCCTCTTTTAGTGAATTAAAAACCCATTGTATACTATACGAAAATAAAGAACCACTGCGCATAAAACCCCATCTTGTGAGGGTAGGTACGAGGGAGAGCTTTATCTTTATATTTTTTACAAAGAGGTTGTTTCCTGGATTCGAACCTATTGCAAACCATATGTAAAACAAAAGAAACAAGGGGAGAAATTTTTTTTACAGAAATTTTCAGGAATATATAAAGACAATACTACTACTGCTTACCTTCCCTGTGCGACCTGTTTGAGTCCAACACCATGCACCAGGATGTCTATGGTCATTACCAAAGGAGCGCATAACTGTCATAACTAGGGAGGTACCTATCAAAAGTAAAAACTACATCAAATGAGCTCTCCACAATGCAAGTTGCTAATGGAACAGTTGAGATTAAGACTGAAGTTGGAAATCCAACTATTGGTACAAAACTGAAGCCATTCCATCGGCATTAATTTGCTCTAAAAATTCATTTTCAATTTAAAAGTCATGGGATTAGGAAGTTACAAGACGTGAAGATCATTGCAAAGTAGGCCATTTCTCAAAGCTAAAATATTAAATGCTGATTCATCTATAAATGCATACCCCAGACATACAAGTGAAACATGGCCTCCAAATCTTCAACATCTGTTTTGTGTTTTACAACAGTACGGTGCAGGGTAAAAGCAATTGTTGTAGTCCACAGGAAAGATGCCACACAAAAGAAATGTGTGCTATAGCCCTGAGCATAACAAAAGAAACCTTTGGATGGGTCCCTGTATCAAAATGAGACTTATATCAATCACATGATGAACAACTTCAGTTGATACATACATTTGAAGAAGATTGCCCTTGATCTAGCAGGTATACCCTACAATTCTGAAGAAACTGCAAAGCATATCCTGCAATCGGCAAAAACGTCATAAAAGAGCATTATGGCTCAGAAGAAGAAAACAAGGGAAAACCAATACAAAGGAACAGATATGTATGGTTCCTGAAATGACAAAGGACCTACATCTCAATTGTAAAACAGCATTACAAATAAAAATTAAAGTGGCTAAAGGAAAAAAAACAAGAAAGATAACAAAAGTTATTTACTAACAATTTTCCATCAACAAAATGTAGTTTTTACAATTGTTATGGAAGTCTTTAGGGTTGGAAAAAATGAGCCAACCCGTAAAAATGACCCGGGTTGGGTTGGCAAAAATGAGCTGCCAACCCAACCCGAGCCAACTCAAAAAAAAAGAGCCAACCCGCGGGTCAAACGAGCCAGCTCGAGGGTTGAGTTTTTTTTTGTTTTTAATAAAAATAAAAAATATAATATACAAAAATGGACAAAACTCACACATGTTATCATCGTCTTTCTTACTTCTCTAAACCTAAGTCCCTAATCTTTTCACATCCCTGCCATTTTTATATTGTTAGGCTGTGCTGGTTCTATTTGGTTCAAATATCTTACCCACTTGGTAGCAAGTGGTTCTGATTGTTTCTTGATGTTGGTACAAATTTGTTGTGAAGAAAATTCGAAACTAGAATATTTTGCTTTTATTTCTCATTTTGTAACCCTTTGTTTAAGCTGATGGAAGCCACATAGCTCATGCATTAATACTACAGGTTCATTCAAATAGGCTGAAAACGAGTCAACCCGTGAGCCAATTTTCGAGCCAACTCACGAGCTATTTTTTCAAGCCAACCCACGAGCCATATTTTTGAGCCAACCCTAACCCGGCTCGAGTAGGGTTGAGTTGGATTTTCTGGCTCGTTTTTTTTTTCGAGCCAACCCTAACCCAACTCGTTTTTTTCGGATTGCATGCGGGTAGAGCCGGGTTGGGCCAGGTCGAACCATTTTGCTAACCCTAGAAGTCAATAACCATCTGGTAATAACTAACATATATATTGCACGGAGAAGCTTCCCGTAATTACTAGTTCACACGGCATATATTTACACTCCTAATTATTATTTTTTGGTGAATGGAAGTTAGGCTAAAGTGAAGGCAAAACAGTCTCACTCTGAGATTCAATCCCAGGATCAAGCAGTCCTCAAATGAACTTGGTTGAACTTAAGCTAAGATTCTTGAGCATTAGACTCCCAATTTTTTAGTGCACATTAGAATAAGAAGTTAAATATGTTTAAACCTATCTTCGGCATAGTGAATACCAAACTGAAAAAAGCTCAAAATAGTTGTTTTATGGTCATTGGTTCGAAAACCAAATCTAGTGATTACGTCAATGAGAAGTATCAACTATATGCTAAGTACATTAGATATAAAAAAAACAACAACAACAAAGTGTTTTAGCGAAGAGTTAAATTGAGGAAACAAGAATTCGAAGCAATGTAAACAAAATACAGAGAGGATAAGCAGGGTTTTAGATCTGATGAAGAAAGCATGGAAAAAAAAGAAAGAATAGGAAGCATACGGAGAGGGCGAGGTAGAAAACGAGCTTGAAGGAGAACTTGCGGAGCTCCTTGAAGAGAAGGTAGCAGAGTACAATGAAGCTGGACCCAGCCAACGACAGGCTCGACGCTCCGACGTTCACTGCCGTAAGAATCCCGCGATCGTGCGCCGTTAGAGCGCCTGTGACTGCAACGGAGGTCGCCATTACACAGAACTAGTTCGCGATCGCCGATCACCTTGTTGATTCTTAGTTCGAACTCACGGAAGATCGGGAAGGGAAAAACAAAGGCGAAACTGGAACCGTTTTTTTTTTTTCTTTCAAATTTTTTGTTTTTTTGTAAAATAAGAATATCAAGTATGATGTAGTGTTCATGAACCATCTAATCTCAAAATCGAAAAAATTAAATAATTTAAGGGCAATGCTTTTCTCATGTTACATGAGATAGTATTATCTACATAATTGGGTTGTTCCCACGGTTAAAAAAAAGGAAAAAGAAAAAAAATGTTGGCTCGGATTGCGATGTGTCTCTGACATGAGATAAATTTTTTTATGTAACTTGAGAAAAACATTTCTCATAGTTTAATTAGTTGGATTTCTTTTTGGATAAAATGATGGGAATTGAATATATAACATAAGACATATCCAAATCTCTTATAATTAAACCGATCATAGTAGCTTAATTAGATGGATTCTTATATAGGTTTTATATTATAGGAATGCACAATACATTTTATGCACAAACAAAAAAAGTGTGGAACCCATGAATTTTTATTTCTCAATCCTTGTTTCACATTTTTTTTGTTTGTGGAGGAAATGCATCGTGCATTCTTGTAACATAACCAATATAAAACCCAGAACTAATTTAATTCAAGGATTTTTGTATATAGTTTTGAGAACTAATTTAACTCAAAGATAATTCAACACATGTATATAGGGTGTGCATGACAACCATTTTATTCTTTGGCACTGTTTTCGAAAAGAAATAATTTTTTTCTATTTATGTGCCTTGAAACAGTTTCTGAGAAAAAGATGTGTTTGATAACATGTTCTATTTTTATTCCGAGAATGAGAATTGTGTTTGATAACACAACCAATAATATAATAAAAAATAATTCCTATTAAATAAATATAAAAAGTTTTCGAATCATCATTTTCCTTTCTAAATGGTGGTGACGGCGGCAGTGGTGGTGGTGACGACAGTGACTACCGCAGCTGTGGTGGTAATGGTGGAGATGGTGATGGCGGCGTGGTGGTGATGGTGACGGCAATGGCTGCGGTGATGGTGGTGGTAATAGTGGTGGCAGCGGCAGTGGTGACAGCAGTAGTTGCGACGATGGTGGTGGTGGTGGTGATGGCGGTGGTGATGGTAATGATGGCGATGATGGTGGCGGTGGTAGTGATAGCGATGGTGGTGGTGGTGACAGCAGTGGTTGTGACGATGATGGTGGTGGTGGTGATAGTGGCGGTGGTGGTGATAGTGGCGACAATAGTGGCAGTGGCATGGTGGTGGTGGTGGTGATGATGGCAGTGGCGATGATGGTGGCATAGTGGTGGTGGCGATGGTAGTGATAGCGATGGTGGTGGTGGTGGTGACAGCAGTGGTTGTGACGATGATGGTGGTGGTGGTGGTAGTGGCGGAAATAGTGGCAGTGGCGGCAATAGTGGCAGTGGCATGGTAGTGGTGGTGGTGGTGATGGCAGTGGCTGCGATGGCGGTGGTGACGGTGACGGTGGCAGTGGTGATGGTGGCAGTGGTGCGGTGATGGCGGCAGTGGTTGCGGCGGCGGTGGTGATGATGACGACAATGACTGTGACGATGATGGTGGAGGTTGGTGGCGGTGGTGGCGGTGAGGTGGTGATGGTGATGGCGGTGACGGCAGTGGCTACAATGATGGTAGTCGTGGTTGGTGACAATGGCGGTGATGGTGGCGGTGACAGTGCCTGCGATAATGGTTATGGTGATTGGTGGGGGTGGTGGTGACGATGATGGTGGCGGTAGTGGTGACAGTGGCATGATGGTAGTGATGGGTGGAGGCCGTGGTGATGATGGTGACGACAGCAATGGTGGTACGACGACAGCGACGATGATGGTGGCAGTAGTCGTGTCGGGATGATGGTAGTGGTGGTGATGATGATAGAGGTGGAGAGAGATAAATGTTTCTTATTTTTTGCCTGCGAATAAAAAAGTAACATTTTTTTGATTCTTTTTCTATTTCCCAGCACAAAAATTAAATTGGTTTATCCCGAGAAAAAAAAACCGATTTTATCAAACGAATTTTCTATCCATTTATGTTCCTGAGAACAAAAATTAAAAAAAAAAAATTGATTCCAGGGAGGTTGTCATGCACACCCATATACGTTGATTTGGTTGTTATTTTTTTTGTTAGTTTCTTACCTTCTCACTTATCCATAAACCATAATACTCTTAATTTTTCTCTCATTCTAATTTTGTGGAGGAGAGAAAAGATAGAAAAAAATCATTAAATATCTATCAAAATATAATAATTTCATCTAATAGGACCCAAATTTTTATTTTTTAAAATGATAAATATTTTTCCTTTAAATTTATCTACTAAAAAAACAAAACCGAACAAATTTAATCCAATTTAAATTAAGCTAGAACATATTTAAATTTATAATAAGACTAATTTCATAATAAACTTGTAAGAACTAATGAAATTAGATCAAATAATTTTTCTCATTGAAATGCATCAAAATTAATTTGTAAACACCTTTAATAATAAAATTCTCGTTCGTGATTAGTTGCTATTAGGGATTGTTTTGTAGAAAGAAAAATTTTAGAATCTTGGAAAAATGGGATTGAGAATGTTACTTTCCCCACATTTGGTATAAGAAATAGTAAATTTTTTCCATAAAAAGTCGAATTCCCGGGAGTCATGTTTATGAAAAAAAATTCATCTTAAAATACCATCAAATGGGTGGTATTTTGAGAATCCCATGGGATAAGAATATTTGATAATTTTTTTGGACATAATTAACCTCAATGAAAACACAACAACGAAGGATCTCCATTTTGAATTCTTCTTCATTGTTAACCTGATTCTTTTCTTCTTCTTTTTGGTAAGTTGAAAGGCAACAACTAGTATCCGATTTGGCCATTGGAGCTGTATAAGCCCACAAAATCTTTAGAAAAATTAGAACTTGGCAAAAAAGGCTGACTGCAAATCGATTTTAGCTTTCTGGGTAGGAACAACTTTTGTGAGATGGTTGAGTATCGAAGACTGCTACTGCTATTGTTCATCAACACCTGCATTCTTTGTTGGATGTCCGATGGTGTCACTACCCTACTTCACTTGATTTTATTTGTTTTTCATTCATTTGCTCTGAACAGTTCTAGAAAACTGTTTCCAATATTGTTTGATTTGATATATTATAAGGGCTTGGTGTTTGTCATTTTAAATGACATAAGTTATGTCATTTTAGGAGAGAGAAAGACACAGAAAATGAAAATCATGGAAGAGAGAAAGTGAGTGGTTTTTTTAATTTAAAATTTAAATAAAAAATTATTATGTGTCTATCTCTCTCTTAAAATGACATAACTTTATGTGATTTAAAACGACAAACACTTTTCCCATATTATAAACCTCCTAACTTTTTTCTTTTCCATTCTGAAACAATGAGATGTTTCCCAACTAATCTATTAAGTGGCTCACATCAATTCTACTACTCTGACTGTTACTGTTTATTCAGATTGCTAGCTCTCTTAGTGAGGTGCCCTATTATTGCTTTGCATGACAATGAAAACGACAACGTTTTATTTGCTCTTTCTCTCACACAGTCTCAGGTTGAAGATGGGCGCTATTTTGTAAAATTAATATTTTACAATCAACCAAATATAGCATCAAAAAAATTAACCCAACATTCCTGAGAATATTTTGACCTACCAAATAACTTTTTGATAACATCCCTTTGTACCAAAGTCATGTGGATGCAATACTAAGTGGGTAAAACTTAAGAGATGTGAATTCCTTTGTGTGTGTTCTCTTACAAATGTCATATAAGAGATGTGAATCCCTTGTGCGTTTTCTCTTGAAAGTGTTATTTGAACACTTCGGTGATGGCTGATGGTCCTGAGGAATTGTTTGATTGAGATCGTTATACATTACATTGATATATATAGGGGTAGGATCAACTTACACGGTGTAAGAATAATAAATCTTACACCAAATCTTAACCATTGATTTCCGTGCATCTAACGGTTGAGATTTATTGGGAATTAAAAATTAATTAATGAGTGAGACCTACTAAATCTTAACTGTTAGATGCAAAAAATCAACGGTTAAGATTTGGTGTAAGACTTATTATTCTTACACCGGTGTAAGATGATCCTGCCCCATATATATATATATATATATATCTGTGTGTGTGTGTGTGTGTGTTATGTTATATCTGCTTACTGTTTTTGCATCTGAAGTGAACTTAGGGGTGGAGGGATCCTCCAAGGTCTTCTAGTTTACTGAGATTGTTATCGCATCCCATGTGGAGACCATATTTCATGTACTAAGACTGATGATATTGGTGTATCTCGTGGCAAGAGGTCAGGATATAGATTATTGCCTGACATGAGACATATGATTGTCATTTTGATATATATGACATGATGATATTTTGTGGAGAGCATAAAGAGTGTCTATGCCATTTAGGATAAATCTAGGAACATTTATTAGAGGAACATGTATAGGTTTATGCAACTTATGTATTTGTATTTCTTTTATCAAATGATCTAAATAATTATGTTTATGTATTATTTTGAGATATGACATGTATGAGAAAGCCTAGGCAATGGATTGTTACGCCATATTAATCATGTATGAGAATTTATAATTTGTCAAGCAGGTGGTATTAAGTTTGGGAAGCATCCCTAACCATTATGATACAACCAAGTGCTATCAATTTTTATTTTGACAACTAGGGTCGACTTAGAACATCCATATCTCCTTTGTTCCTTAATAAAACGAGGTATATTATATACCATTTTAAAGCCCAAGAGTATATTTTTTTGTCTCTAAGTTTCAGAATTTTCTGGTAGCAAAACGTTCCCAATTTGGGTAGAACCGAAGCTTCCAGAAAAAGCTAAAATGACTGAAGAGTTGTTCTGCTAGCAAGGGATGAGAACGTCTCATGTTTACTGAACGAGAAGGTCTTATGTTATAGGACGAGAATGTCCCAAGTACCGGGAACAACCCATGTATGGGGGAACGAACCATGTATAAGGGAACGACCCATGTATATGCGGGAACGACAAATGGGAACGTCACATGTATGAGTACAAATTACACTTAGCACAATAAAACGCGTATAACTTGAGATATAGGATTCCAAATTGAATGAGATTTGGACTTTTGTGAAGCTAATACATAGGGATATAACACTATGAAATCTTAGAGTCATTGGTTAAGTGGATTAATCCTAGTTTAATGCTGAAGTCGCTGCCCTGTTTTCAGAAGTTCAGTTTGAAATAGTTGGCTTGCGACATGCGTAACTTGAGTTGCACATATACAATTGAGGCTTATAACATGTCATTGGAAAGGTCAAGATGTCTAGTTTTACATAGTAAAAGATGAGTATTAATAGTAAACTCATGTAGTACCAGTTTTAAGTATGGTGAGGGATGTTCAATACCAAAAAATGACAATAGAGTTCGTGCCCTTGGATTCTTTTTCAATGGAAGGACTTATGCGCTCTATATTGCTATTAATTGATGTTTAAGGGTACGAGACCCTAAGGGAGGTAGCTAATTTCTCCCATCATGAGTGGATGTCCAAACATAAATAACCATAAATTATAATTTGAGAAGAGGTTAAGTCCTGTAAGTGTAAAAGGAATAATTTAAAATAGTTATTACCTTGAATAAAAATGAGATGAGTAATGTTTATTACCATCTGTAATCAGAAAAAAATTAGTTCACTTATTTACCTAACGGGGTGTTTGGTTAAGGAGAAAATTTTTGAATATTAGGGAAATGTGATTGATAGAAAAATGGTTGGAAAGTGAGTTTGGTAGGAAAATGTAAAAAATGTTATTTGGGTGGAAAAAAAATTTACCGAAAAAATTGAGTTAAAAGAGATAACATTGTCATCATTTTTATCACATTTTTCTCACTTGCCCAGCTATATATATAATACCATGTTCAAGTTGGTAAATTTCCATGGTGCATTTTGTGCCTTTTTGCACTTGATTCTCAATTGCTAGGCAAAAGAGATTGATAGGCAAATTTTTAGAAACCCTCAACCAAACATAAACAACATCAATTCCCAAACTCAAATAGATAGACATCTCTACCAAAAACTCAACCAAACACTACCTAAGAGTATATGTGATATTTACAAGAGTAGCTTCCTATTTACTAGTAATTATGCTGCTTTTAATACTTATATTAATAATAACAAACCCGTCATGAACGAGATGTTATATGAGTCTCAGACACTTATGCATAGAAATATTAATCCTATCAAAGATATACCATTTTTAAAATAAAAAAAAAAATTCATGTAAAAAAGGTAAAACGAATACGTGTTAGAATATGTTTTTATTTTTATTTTATTATCTTTGAAAAAAGTAATATAAGAATGGCGTAAGTATTTGTGTGTGTGTGATCCATATTAAATGCACCCATTTCTTTTTGTATGAATGTTTTCCTTCTTTTAATTGGCATGAATTTTCTTGATGTGCATGCATGTTTAACGAACAAGAATAGAAAATACGATGCCATCAGAAAATTTAAGTTCGAGAGCGATACGAAGCTTAGCAATAATTAACAACACTTATATATTATAAATGATATTGGCTTAGTGCTTGTCCATTGCAGTTGTTTTGCGACATTATTGGATTCCAGTTAAGCAATATAAGGAATCATACATAAAATACAAAAGTAACGCACGCACAAGCATTTTCTCCCCTCAAGAACTTTGTTGAGATATTCTTTGATACCATAGTTGTCGTGCAAAAATGAATTGTTCACAGCCTGCAGTTACTTTCCAACGAATTGAATTACGCCAATTTGTTATTTATTTTTATTCTTTTATGCACAAAGGCCAATATATATTTAACTAAACCTTTGTTACTAAATCACAAATTATATTGAAGGGTCAATGACTGATATTTTTTATGTCAAGAAAATTTCATGCGGACGTATTAAAAAAATTAATGAGGGCAATTGAGAAACATATGATATAACCTTAAAGAGATAAGAGCTAGGGTTCTATTAATCTCCTGTTGCTGCAGAAAAGTTATTTGCAGTTGACCCATTCTTTTCAGAATACTATCTTGAGAAGTATGTGACTGTTGTACGGATCAATGTCTTTTGCAGTGGCTGAAAAGATATATTTCCGTAAGAGTTATATCTATGTATTTACATTATAACCGTCAAACTTCATCGCTTGCATACCATGTAGTGTATAGTTTCTTTTCTTACGCTAGTAAACTATGACTCAAATTTTAGTTAGTAAGATATATAAATCGGTTAACGGAATAATAATTTATTAACCAAATTGTATATCTTGTTAATTAATAATTTTGTATAAATTTGATAGATATTTTTTGGTCTGTAAATAACAGAATTGTGAGTAGATTCTCTGTCCTCATTGTATAACGCTTGATAATGAAAGCTGTAAAATTACTTGACCAAGCCCTTTCAACCATGATAAAGATGACTGTTCATGAATATTACTAACTCAATCTAAATTTTGTAAACTATTTTGATTACAATTTACAAGTATTGATTTGACCTAATGAAAAATAAAAAATTCACTTTCACTAAACTATAATTTGAAATCCAAAGTCATGTTCAAATACAACTCAATAATAATTTTAATAAATGCACTTTGTCTATTTTAAATAATGTTTCACACTAATTCAAACAAGGTATATATATATAAGTAGTAACACCAGAACAAACACTCTCTTCAAGTGCTTGTGCATTGTTGTGTACAACATCATCAAACCTTAGAAACCCCAATTAACACTTCTGACAACTTGGGTTCCGATGTGGTAGTAGTAGTAGTAGTACTTATTCCACCTGAAACATCATTCTTGCTGCAGCTCTACATTTCTGGCCACAGATATATATATATATATAATTGTGAAGATCAAGCGGTCCCATTCAAAATGATATATATATAAGAAACACATGACTTTTGTTTTTGTCCCTTCTGGTATCTGCTATATTTTATCTTTGTCTTCATTTTCACTTACGGCAACATAAACAAATGGTCCAATGAAAACATCGTCAAAGTCCTGAAGTGGTTCCAAAATCTTCATCACATCACTCATAGCCGGCCTTGGATTTGGGTGGTGACTCAAGCATTTAAAAGCCAACATAGCAACCTTCATGGCTCCTTTCATAGGAAATTGCCCTTCCAATCTACGGTCTATGATACTATGCAGCTTTCTTTGATCTCTCAACAAAGGCCTTGCCCATTCCACCAAGCTCTTCCCTCTATTTAACTGGAAGGACTTATCCACTACCCGTTTTCCTGTCAGCAATTCCAACAGAACCACTCCATAGCTATACACATCACTCTTGGTTGTGAGGTGACCTATAATATGGCCATGACTTAGTTAGCTTCAAGTATCCCAGTGATTAAAGTGAAGCTGTAACTTGAAGAAAAAGAATATTATTGGGTTCTCAAGACTAGTTTCTAGTAATACAAAAAACTAGTAAAAATTGAAGCAATTCCATTGAAAGGCCCAAGTTCTTTTGAAGGAAGGGATATGCAAACTGTAATACTATAAGTTCTTATTGAGGATTGTAACATACTCTTGGAATGGAATAGTGTGACCCTGAAGCCCTTTTTACATTTTAGGTGCCATCATACTAGAAACTTGGTTAGCATATATAAATGGTAGTTTATACCTGTCATGATGTACTCAGGAGCAGCATAGCCTTGTGTTCCCATTATGCGTGTTGTTACATGCGTGTCTTCCCCTTCAGGGGCATCCTTAGCTAGACCGAAATCTGAGAGTTTAGCTGTGAAATCCTAGATTTGGAGAGAGATAAAAAAAAAAAAAAGAATCCAAGTTATGGCCACTAGGAAGATGATATAGGAGATTATGCAATATGATTCTTCAGCAGATGTAGAGATATATATGTGAAGAGAATAGAGAGGGCATAGAAGAGAACTTACAGAATCTAGTAAGATGTTTGAAGCTTTGAAATCCCTGTATATTACAGGCTTATCTGCTTCGTGAAGGAAGGCTAAGCCCTTAGCCGCTCCCAATGCAATTTTCATTCTGGTTGACCATGGCATGGCAGCAGAGTATTCTGCTTGTATTAGAACAAAAAGAAGCATATGGTAAGAAGTTAATTTCCAAATTCTTGTGTTAGTATGAGGGATTCTAATTAGTCAATATAATCCACAACTATCATGCAATTTTTCATCAGAGTCCAAAGAAAACAAATAATATTTGAAACAATTAGGTGTTCTTTATAGTATATAATAGAAGATCCAAATCATTGATCATCATATATCTCGATCTTGTAATCAGGTTTGTCTTTGAGGGAGTTACTGACTTACTGCTTATATAATCAGAAATACAGAAATAAATGACCTTGGTTCTCTATGTAACCCAAAAGATTGTGACTTTCTACTCAATTTCATTCCTGTCTTTTTTGGGGAAAGAGTGATGAGAAAAGTAGATGATTAGAAGAAAGAAAAGCAACATACTTTTGAAAAGTTGATTCTCCAAGCTGCCTCTTGCCATGTATTCATAAACCAAAAGCCTGTGTTCAGCCTCATAACAGTACCCAATTAACTTAACAAGATGTGGATGCCTTAGCTGTCCAAGAAATATAATCTCTGCCTAGAAAAGAAAATATGTCCAAAGAATAACAGTTTTCAGATATTGGTGTTCCATTAGATATTCATTCACAATTGTAGTATTTTGACAAGGAAATCTGTAATCTTATATTGATTTGTGACTAACAAAGAAATGGGGGTGAACAAGCTATTCTTAATAAGTTAAAAAGGGCACTTCAGAAAGCTAACCAGCCACTCCCTATGACCTTGCAAGCCATCCAAGTCCAATCGTTTCACAGCCACAGTCTGAGCCTTCAAACCAGGCCTAAGTGTGTCATCAAAAAAACCCTTGTAAACAGGTCCAAACCCACCTTCACCAAGCATATTACTCCATGAGAAATTATGTGTTGCTTCTCTTAGCTCCTCAAGGGTGAATGTATGAAGTTTTGAGCCAGCAAGGGAAATTGAAAGATCTTCCATGGCCTGAGTTGAGCTTGAATTGCTTACATCCGATAGGCATAGCCTCTGAAAAGAACCTTGTTTTAAAACCTGTTTCTCTGATTCCTCCTTAACCTTGTAACAACTTAAGATCAAGGTAACAGACTTCCATGTAATCTTTTTAGGAGTCATCTAAAATTGGTATATATGTGTAATGTCTCTTTTTTTTTTTTCACAAGCTACCTTTTGCTTTTGAATCTAAAAAATGAGAAAGACGACATAAGAATTGGAATGATTGATGCTGCAGGGAAAAAAATATGTGAAAGCTAAGAAAATTTATAGTACATACTTTCACCTACTACCTTGGAATAGAACTTGTAGGGAGATTCCTTGACTTCTAGACCTTAAATGTGGATGCTAGAGTTATACGATATGAATGAATGATTTTTATTTTATTTGTAGTTACTTTTTAATATTGTGATTATACATAATTATTTTCATATATATCTTGATCAATTAATTAAAGGCCAAGAAACTTGCCAACCTGTTGACTTCAATGTTACACTAATTAAACCCCCTCTACAAATATGTATGTATCTACATCTTGCATCCCTTGCCGTCCACATATTTTTGTGTTTAGCAGTTGATGTACATTCACCAACAAGGTTGAGGAATGAAGGGATCTAACATAATTCCATTAGTGCTAAACCAACAATTCCATTATCAAATCTGTTGTGGCCACACATCAAAGGTTTTCTTTTAATTATTTAACGGGTTATATTGCATACATCTGTCTTATTATAACAATAAGAAAAAAAAGTGCTTTGTGTATTGTCAAGTATTTTAGGGTCTAATTGATATTTTCCCAATGTTAGGTAGGTAAAGCTCCTCTGGATTATTGTTGTTAGGATGTCAAAATCATATATTAGCAAACCGACAATGGGACTATTCTTTTAAATTCTTAAATGTGATCATCAAGGGCAGCTTCTAGAATCTAGAACTTAAAAACAACGATGTTCAGAGTGGGATTGCACTTACACAATTATTATTTACTTTTTGACTAATGAATTTGTGTTCCTAGGATCGTAACAACGTCTGCGTCAATACATTAAGGTTTTACTCTTCACGAGGGTTTAGATATCAAGAAAAACATTTTAAATGACTTAAAATTATCTCATTTTAATGAAATTACGTAGTTTTGGTATTTTTTATATTTTCTCTCTTCTGTTTTCTTTTTATTTTTAATTTTATAAATAAAAAAATATTTGTACAATTAATATAAATAAGTTATCTGCATTTACTTCCAAAACGATATTATTTTGAGATTGAAAGATGAGAAAATTATAGTTATAAAGACTATAATAACCCTGAAATAAATTAAAATTACAAAAACACTATGATTTCAGCTCCAAAATGATGTCGTATTAGGCTTACTGCAGTAACTGCAGAAAAAGAGAACTTTTTTATAAATTAGAAAAAATGACAAAACACATCAAAACAACGTAGTTTCATTCAAAATAATACAAAATTGTGTTATTTAAAATAACAAACACTATGTACCAAAAAAAAAAAAAAAAAAAAAAAATAACAAACACTAAATCCATAGATATATTAAATCTATTCAAGAAAACAAGTTAAAAAAAGAGAGATGAAGCTGGGAAGGTCAAGAAAAAGGGTGAACCAATCAATCTAACCCACAACCACTTCTATCGTTCGTGGAAAATATTGCAGAGTTCCAATTGTGCTGCCATTTCATGTTTCAAAGTGATTAATGACTAAAATTCTACAAAATGGTTTCAAACTAAGGAAAAAAGAGGCTTAATACATTTTTTTTTTTTCACATATAAGATTAAGAGGGAAACTACTATGAGGTCAGGGGGTATGTTACATGTTTTTTTTTTTTTTTTTTGTATAACTGTTACATGTTTCTTTGGTTGTGATAAACAATTTTAGTCAACAAGTTTTGTATTTTATTTTATTTTATTTTTTGGTGAAAAATCGTGGCCTAGGCCCAAATCTTCATCCCCGTCTGATAATAGCTCATAAGCTTCTAGTGGCATATTTTCCATACTCTAATATTGTAACTTGTTAGCATGACTTTTTATATCATTTGGAAAGATGCATTAGATTTAATAAAATAGTCAGCGCCAATTGCTCTAGTATAAGACGAGATATTCAACAACTGATCACGCCATTAGCATGATATTTAATGATTCACTGTTTATCCTTCTCCTCTCTCTCTCTCTCTCTCTCTCATGTAAGGGATGTGACTAATTAAGTTTACACCAGAGAGGCAACTATACACCATTAAATCTTATATGATCGGTTGATTAAAACATTCTGATTGGTAGTTTCTATTAAGTTATCTATTCAGTTTTCACTATTATATATATATAAATTGATATGTAATTTTATTTGAGGAAGGATTCGTTTACAAATATTTACAAATTACACTAGGTATTCTCGGAGAGAATATAGTGTTCTCCCGGGAGTACATAATGTAGTTTGTAAACAAAAAAATTGTAAATATAACCCTTCCTATTTTATTAAATGATCATGTAATTTATAAATAATATTTTTTTGATAATTAAAATAATTGAATACTTAATGTTTCTAATTACTTCCCTTAGAACACTCCTTAATAGCACCTTATCTATCTATAATTCATATTCTATATATATTAGTATAGTCTTTGGAAATAGTTTAAAGTTTACACGTCTCAAATTGAACTAGTCTCAATTCACAAAATGATGAAGCAATTGGAATATGTCTAAAAAAAAAAGTAATTCTCTTTCCTACAATATCAATTTCTGCACAATTCAATTTTTATTTTTTATAAATAAATGAATTCCACACATAATTATGTTTACCGTAAAAGAAAATTATTCTCCTCCATCATCATATTAATAAATCGCTTCGTAAAATTAATTGACAAACATGCATGACAATGTCAACTATATAAACCAATGATGACACTGTATTATTAAATTTACTATTAAATATAACATTTAAAAAACTTAAATACACAACTTCTTATGAAATCATGATTTTCTTACAATTTTTCTTAATAGAATCAGAACCCTCAAAACAATTTGTTTTTATAATAAAATAGTAAAGTAAAATATAGTTAAAAAATCACCCACCATATTTACCAAAAAAAAATAAAAAAATCACCCACCACAGGATAAATTTCACGAAATTTTTTAATATGTTTCAGGATCACCGTAATTCTTCCACTCAAAAATTAACATCTATATTTATTTATTTTTTCTGTCTCGTTTCTCCTCCATTTTTTCTGTCTTTCTCTTTCCTCGTTCCCCTCCAATTAAAGTAACTTCTCTCGAACTTCACCTGGTACGTTCATTTACGTCCAAGGATATCCGTGTCGTTGGAATTATATATCTCAGTAATATATAAATTTCATAGGACCCACATATCAGCCCAATCTGGTATTTCCATGTTGTTTAACTTTATCCACATTTAAATTTCCAATAACAATGTTATATATTCTTAATTTTTTTTTTATAGCGAAATATTAATTATAACTTATTAAATTTCATAAATAATTAAAATGCATAATATATTTCCTTCGGGTGCATTACGTTCTTCAAAGAACACAATTTAAAATGGATAAACTTTGACTAATATATTTAGATGGCCTAAGCCTAAGCGCATCTATAATTTTAAGAATACAATATTTAAAACTTCAGAAAAAAGATATCAAAATATAATATCAAGTTAAAAAATTTATTACTAGAACAATAAAAAAACCGTATAAAATTTTCATCTTATAAAAACACTCACATATCATAATGAAATATTTTAAAATATAATTTTTAGTCTATTTACACTATATACATATATGTAAATATTATATTTTGTATATAAATTTAAGTCAAAAGGTTACACTAACAAACAAAATAAGATTGACTTATCTAATTATTAAATTTCAAATAAACAACTTTATTATACTTTAAAAAAGGTATATGTATGTTTAAATTAATTTATTTTACACCTAAAAAAATTTCTTGACAGAAAAGCTCTTTTTGAAGTATTTTAACTATATATTTTTAATTTAAAATATGTTAATTGAAACACATATAAGATAATTTATCTCATATTCTTCATATTATACGAGTTATTTTATTTGTATCGGATGCTTTTAAGTTTATACTTTAAAAAAATATTAAGTTGGATTTAATTATTATTAAATTTTATTAATAACCATTTTTCGTAGAAACATTAATTAGGAACATTCAATGTCTCCTTAAAAAGTCTTATTACACAAGGAATTTAATATTAAATATTTTTGGTAATCTCAATTAGGGAAGGTTATATTACAATTTATTTTCGTTTACAACCTCTTATAATCATATCTTAACTGTTGATTTCTGTCAATCAACAATTGTTATTTATTGCTAATTAATAATTAATTAATAAATTTAATTTGCGAAAATCTTAATTGTTGATTGACAGAAATGAACGGTTAAGATATGGTTGTAAGAAGTTATAAACGAAAATAAATTATAAATATAACATTCCCTGTCTCAAATAATAAAAGTTTTATTTTGTGTAATACTTTATAATTTTGTTTCAGCATTGCGTTAACAAATCTCTTTATTACTTGATGGCGTAACAAGATTAAAAAAAAAGTAGGATTAATATGTAATTCAAGTTGAAAGCACTAGCAAAGCAGTAACAACAAATGGAATCTGAATAAAAGTCCAAGAAAAGATCAACGCCTTCTTCAAAAGAACTAATAAAAAAGGCATCAAATCAAAATTGATTGATTAAAACACTAGTGCACTACCCAAGCAATAATAACTAATAAGAAAAATGAAATCAGCATAAAATTGATTGATAAAAATAATTTGCATGACGACATTTTCAATTTATGTTTAATGGAAAATTGATTGATGAAAAGAACACAAACAGTTAAAAATTATGTTTAACAAAATCAGTTTATATTTCTATTTCAGATAATAGGTTAGTATCCAGAAACAAAAATTTATCCGAACACTTTATTTATTAAATACACATTTAGAAATTTAAAATTTGGAACAAAAGAATCTATCTTTTTAATTATTAACGATACACATTGTAAAATAAATGTTATCAAGCATTTTTTTTGCCATAAATTTTTTTCTAAACCTAGAAATAAAAAATATTATTTTTCATTATAACTCCGAAGACTTAGGGTGTGTTTGGTTGGAGGATTGTGATGGAAAAAAAATTTATTTATTGCAATTTAATTAAATAATTACGCATTTATTGCAGTTTTGGAAATAATTACGGATCTATTGCACAATGTGACACCTTTTTTGGGCGTCACATGTGACGCCTCATTTAGGCGTCTCTCACTTGAGGGAAGACGCTCCAATGGGGCGTCTCACATGAGGTGTTGACACGTGTCATTTCTCTCCCAAAAAAAAATAATAATTTAATCATAAAACTTCTGAAGTTGATAACTTTTTACTCGTGTATCCAATTCAGGTAATTCTTTTTTTGATTCCACATAACTTTTCGAGATCTACGCAATGACATCTCATTTGATATATTTTATTTCTCACAAACATAATTTAAATTTGCAAGAATGGTACTATACGAGCGTTTAAACCTAAAAGTCTCTTAGGTGGCGTTTGGTTGATGAATATTTTTTATGAATGATAGGAAAATGTGATTAGTGGAAAAATGGTTGGGAAGTGAGTTTGGTAGGAAAATATAAAAAAAGTTGTTTGGTAGGAAAAAAATTTACTGGAAAAATTAGGTAACTTTTGTAAAATCTATGTTTGCCTTTTGGTAAAATATTGATGGAAAAAAAATGTGATATTACAAAAATATCCTTGTTTTTAAAAAATGACAAAATAATTGATGGTAAATTAGTAGTATCATCTCTCTTGCTTTTTCAAAGGGTATAATGGGTGTGAAAAAATGAAGCAAACAGTGGTTTAGCCATCTTTTTCAAAAAACCACCTAAGAAAACGCTTTTGAAACAGTGTCGAAAGCTGTCATTTTGTGATCCAATTGAAAAAGCTATGCATTTTGGATGGATGGCTTTTTGAGTGAATCTATTTGACCAAACAAGACATTTTTGGAATCCTTGTGTCATTTGCCTAGAAAACTTTTGTAAAGACGCGAGCCAAACACCACCTTAGTTCTTTCTGAATCAACACCAAACACACCAAAACCAAGTGTGTGAAAAAAATAGTGTACAATGTTATTGAACCAAATTCATATTGTGTATCGTTAGGTTGATTTTTCGTATCTTGAATCATACGGTATCATAAGTTACATCCTTCTGTTTTATGACTTTTTTTCTTTAAAGCCATTTAAATTATGTATGCCTAAGAGAAAGAAAAAATAAATACATTTAAAATAAAAATAAAAAAAGGACTAATGGGTATAAGAAAATAAAACTAAACCGAAAATCGAATCCTGAACTCTGAAGTTTGGAAACGACTCTGATACGAAATAATGGCTGGGTCTTTATTGCTGGATTCATTGGAAGCTTATAGCTTCTGAATGGTTTTCAAATTGATTTTTGAGTTTAAGTCACAAATCAAATCTTTATTTTGTTTTTCTTATTAATGATAATTTTTTAGACTTTTTTAAATTTAAATCACAAACCAAAACTTTATTTATTTTTTATATTAAAAATTAAAAAATGTGATTTTTTTTTAAATTTAAATCACAAACTAAATCTTTATTTTTTTATATTAAATCACAAATCTAGTACTCAGAGGCTTGTGGGTTTAAACGCTCTTATAATACCATTCTTGTAAATTTAAATTATGTTTGTGAGAAATAAAATATATCAAATGAAATGTCATTGCGTAGATCTCGAAAAGTTATGTGGAATCAAAAAAAGAATTACCTGAATTGGATACCCGAGTCAAAAGTTATGACCTTAAGAAGTTTTATGATTAAATTATTATTTTGTTTGGAGAGAGAAATGACACGTGTCAACACCTCATGAGAGACGCACCATTGGGGCGTCTTCCCTTAGGTGAGAGACGCCTAAATGAGGCGTCACATGCATGTGACGCCCAAAAAAGGCGTCACATTGTGCAATAAATCTGTAAATACTCCCCAAACTGTAATAAATGCGTAATTATTTAATTAAATTACAATAAATAAATTTTTTTGCCGGATGTGATGAGATAGATGAGCATTTGAGAAGTGGGATTATTGGGTTCCTTTGTTTGGTTTAAACGTTTTCTTCATATACCTACCTAAATCATTATGCTATCAAAACAATTTGCATGTCTATCTGATTAAGATTAAGAAAGCTAGCCAAATATTTCCTCTTGATATGTGGTATGGCATCTTAACTACCTAAATGGTCACATTGGGCAAGAGTAAGATGACGAGTGTACCCTCCAAAGTTGATGCTGAACAAGCTGAATCAGACAACTCTATCTGTATCTGCAGGATGGTGATTCCTTGAGTAGCTCAAGCCATGACGAACACTTTATAAGCTTGAGCATATGATCATGTTGGTTCCTGAAATTGTATATAGTAACGTTTTAGCACTCCTAAATCATGAGAAAAACACAATTCGATAGGGATCTCATTGTCAATATTTAAGACTAAAAGTTGTGCCTCCCATTTACCTTCTGCACTAGCAGCATTTGTGTTGAATGAAGTTCACAGGTTTCAGTTGAAAAAGAAGGCTTAAGAACAGAGATCAGACTTGGTTATTTTTAAAAACAAGGTTATTTTAGTAATAACAACTTTTTTCCCATCTATATTTTACCTAAAGCTAAACATAGACTTTATAAAAGATACCTAATTTGTCCGGTAAATTTTTTTCCAACCAAACAACTTTTTTTATATTTTCCTACCAAACTCACTTTCTAACCATTTCTTTAGTAATAACATTTCCCTATCATTCATAAATTTATCCTCAACCAAAAGCCAAATAAATTTTTTAAATGTGACGGAATTTTTTTTTTCAAAAAGGATAAAAAAATTTCAAATATAAAAAAATGTACTTAATTAAGAGTCTGTTTGTTTCGACTTTCAGAAAAAGCAATTTTTATCTTTTTCTTATTTTAAAAGTGCTTTTTATAAAAGTTAAAACTATTTATATTTTATAAAAATATTTAGTTTTTAAAAAAATATTTGACTTTTGATTTCTGTTTTTTTAGAAGTTAAATTTTTTAGCTTTTAAAAAGAGTAAATTTTTGACTTTTTTATAATTTCTGCTTTTTTTTAAAAGAGACATTCAAATGAACTTAATTTTTTTTTCTTAGAAATAAATAATTTTTGGAGAAAAAAAAACCCTAAATATGATGCATCAAAATTTTGTCCTACCTTCCCCGAAGAGGCGTCAAATCAAAATTGGTAGATCAATCAAAGGGAACAGATCGAGAACGGTCCCCATCTACAAAAGCAATATTAAAGAACGTGCATCAGTCTCTATAAGTCGTACCTTTACCCAATTTGCAACGCCGAAGTACGCAAAGGAAGCGTGCATGTTATGCCATTATAGTGGTACACCTAAGTGTTTGTTTGATTCGAGTTTTCATGATACTCCCGCAACCCAACGTAAATGAAGTTCACTGAAAATGATTGGAATAGGAAGTAGTAACCATTACAAGTTTACAACAATTTAGTACTAGTCATTGGCGAAGTGGTGGCGTAGAAGTTAAGGGATCATAGTCATAATAGACATAGAATTGGTGGGTGGATACTTCATTAGATACTGTGTTATGAGTTCGTTTTCTACATGGGACCACATGCACGTATGCCAATCTCAATCTCTGACTTTTTGGCCTCCTTCATTCCATTTGAATCATTTCATACAGATGAATTTAGGTAATTCGTGCTTTGCTGTTTACACATTGTAAAGCCTTAAGAAAATCAACTTGTCCTTTCCTTTTCTCTTTTGGTAATGTTGCTAGATATTTCTCTAAGGGTTAGTAGTAGCACTTAGCAGCCACTTATATTTGTGCAGCCTGACCCAAAATAAAAAATAAAAGGGCTACTTATATTTTGAATTTTTTTAAACATTTAATTATAATGATAAAGTAAACAATTATTTAAAATAAGTATTGAATTTTAAACTAAATAAAAATAATAACTTTAATATATAATTATTTGTTCCTTCATTATATTTATGATAAACAATTCTCCAAAAGTAAGTCCCCCACCCCCTCCTCCTGGCCAAAAAATAAAAATCAAAGATAGTAAAAAAAATGCTATGGCCCAATCAAAGTACAATTTGCAGTAGCAAAATTTGATTCTTTTTTATAAATCACATGTATCTTTCACGTAAGATAATTCTATTTGAGCCACGAATATCTATATCATGGTGGGTCTAACTTGTTGAGTTTTGTTCTTTATAATTCTAAAGTCCAATAGAGTCTAGTGTATAAGAAGAGCCCAAGAAATCTAAAGCTCATTATACTTAGGGCTAGGGTTTCTTGGAATTCATATATATTCTACACTTATAATCATCAACCTCTTAAGTCTTCACTTGACAGTTGTAGAGGCTGAGGTAATGTCATCTTCCTGAAAGTGAGAGAGTGCCCACACACTTCCCATTTTTCCTTGAGACATAGTCTGGAAGATCTGCCATAGTCCAGCTTCAAGAAGGTTGTTCGTGTTGCGGGGCTGAGGTGAGCTGTTCGTGAAGAGAAATCATACGAGGGAAGATTCTACATAAGACCTGCGCACCAAAAGGTAATTGTGAAACGAGGATGATTCGATAAGCATACCAATATACTAGATCCTAAATCGCTTTCGCATAAATCCAATAGTTCCTACCATTCGTATTAGAGCCTAAATCGCTGTACATTGATGTGTTAACTTAAAATTTTGTTTAACTCAAGTATATATGTTACAACTTGAATCAATCGTCTTTGATATTCAATAACAACATTTGATGGTTAATATGTTACGATAAAAGATTGAGGGTTAATATCTAATGGACAATATAATAATTGTATATGAATGAAAGGAGCTACATGCGACCCCTAAAGGACAACACATAGTACGTTTTTATATAGCAATTTTGTGAAAAGTTGTTACTCTTCTGAATAATATTTCAAATATATTTTGAAGTCAAATTATAAATTTGACATAATGTATATGTTACAATTGAAATTGAATAATTATATGAGAAAGAAGTTAATTGATGTGAAATCCTATAAAAGAGGTTGAGACTTGTTATTATGAGTCTAATTAAAAAATATTTATGCTAAAAAAAAATGCTACCACACGTTGGTAGCTTTAAAAAATACTATTTTTGTGTGAAATTACACATTGAAAAATAAGGATCCCGCATTATTTATTATACTAGATTTTTTTTTTTCCAGGGATGTAGTCTTCGTCCATTTGGACGAGACTAATCTTTTCAGAGCATAAAGTGTAAAAGTTTTTGCCACTGGTCTCAAATTGCTTTGTCCAAATTTTTAACTAGAATTTTTAGGAGCAAATAGTATTTTTCTTAATAAAACTCCTTACAATTTTTTGTGAATATTTTTTTCTCACAAGTATTTTGTCGTGAATTGAAATCCTTAGTATTGCAACTCTTAATAGATTTTCTAAGGCTTTACAATTACTATGGTAAAATGTGTGTCTATATATATATATATATATATATATATATATATATATATATATATATATATATATATATATATATATATATATATTTCTGCGGCCACTTTAGATAAGATTGTTTACAACTACTTCTTTTTAACTAAATATGACCGATTAAATATTAAAATTGTATTTTCTCTCCCCGCCACGTCAGCCGACAGTGTATGAGGTTTTTATATATATATATATATATATATATATATATATATATATATATATATATATATATATAAGGTAGGATCCTTTGACATCGGTGTCAAATTTAAAGTTCGACACCTCATCTGAGAGCCATTAGATCAAAAAAGATCAATGGTATCACATGCTTACAAATCAGAATCGTTGATCTTTTTTGATCTAATGGCTCTCAGATGAGGCGTCGAACTTTAAATTTGACACTGGTGTCAAAGGATCTTACGACTCTATATTATATATGACTTCTCGTTTCTCAAGCTGCTTGAGATAATTTTGTCTCTGACTACTAAATCATAATTGTACAAAGATAGATCAACGAAGAAAGAGAGAGAAAAATGAAATCATAACCATTCAAAGGTGAATCAATTAATATAAAGAAACAAATAAACAAAGCGACGTAGTTTTGGGGTGGCCGGAGATAAACTTATTTAAAGTTGCTGGAGAAATATTTTTCCATAAATATTATATATATATATAAGGAAAGTTATACTTACAACCTATTTTCGTTTACAATTTCTTACAACCATATATTGACCGTTGATTTCCGTCAATCAACGGTTAAGATTTTCGCAAATCAAATTTATTAATTAATTATTAATTCACAATAAATGACAACCGTTGATTGGCGGAAATCAATGATTAAGATATGATTGTAAGAGTTTGTAAACTATTTGAGTTGTATATATAACTCCTCCACACACACACATATATATATATATACACACCTACATTTTACCATAGTAATTGTAAAACCTAAGAAAATCTATTAAGAGATAAGTAAGTTTTAGGGGGTGTATTGGATTAGGATTTTAAAAGTTTTTTTTGAGATAAAATTATATATATATATATAGGGATAGGATCAACTTACACCGGTGTAAGAATAATAAATCTTACACCAAATCATAACCGTTGATTTCCGTGCATCTATCGGTTCAGATTTATTTGGAATTAAAAATTAATTAATTAATGAAACCTAATAAATCTGAACCGTTAGATGTAGAAAATCAATGGTTAAGATTTGGTGTAAGATTTATTATTCTTACACCGGTGTAAGATGATCCTGCCCCATATATATATATATATATATATATATATATATAGGTAGGATTATTTGACACCAGTGTCAAATTTGAAGTTTGACACCTCATCTGATAACTGTTAGATCAAAAAAGATCAATAGTGTCACATGCTTACAAATCAGAGTCGTTGATCTTTTTTTATCTATCGGGTCTCAGTTGCTGTGTAATATTTATATATATATATATATATATATATATATATATATAGGGTCAGGATCATTTTACACCAGTGTAAGTTACACTCTCAATCTTGTCCGTTGATCCCACTTATATCTAAGGGTTCTAAATTTTTAGTAATGTGAGTCATTGGATACAAGTGGATCAATGGTCAAGATTGGGTGTAAGACTTCTAACTCTTACACCGGTGTAAGAATATCCTGCCTATATATATATATATATATATATATATATATATATATATATATATATATATATTCTTTACATTTCTCGTTTAGTTTCATGAAGCTTCCCGAAAGGGATAACTCTTCGGAAAGTTGTTTAATTTGAATATCTCACCTCTTCAACATGTAGACAGAGTCATAGAGTATATATTATATACCCTTAGGTGGCGTTTGGTTGAGGATAAATTTTTTAAATATTAGGGAAATGTAATTGATAGGAAAATAGTTGAAGAGTGAGTTTAGTAGAAAAATGTAAAAAAAGTTGTTTGGTTAGAAAAAAAATTAGAGGACAAATTAGGTAAGATTTATAAAGTCTATGTTTGGTTTGAGGTAAAATATAGATGAAGAAATAACTTCAAATTACAAATATAACCCCATAAAAAAAGTGAAACCTTGGCACTTTAGATGAGGGTATTTAAGTCTACTAGTGGGTTGCTCTTTTGCCATTTAGCTAGCTAAATGTAAAATACCACCTTCAAGTTGTCTTTCTAAATAGTAACTTTATCTTGCTTTCTATGAACAAATAAAGAATGCTATGCAAATAAAACACCTAGGAAATTTTTGTAAAACCTTCTACCAAACATTGCTTTCTTACTTTGTCAATTTGATTTGTATAGCAGCATAGGTAAATTTTAAGAAATCTTCAATCAAACACTACCTTAGTTATAAGTCATTAAAATTCTTTATGACGTTATAGTTTAGACGTACGTATGCATTACAATTATACAGAATAGAATTACATAGTTATAAATATACAGAGTAGAAAATAAAAATAGAAATTATCAATTTCAAGACTGTCAACAATATAATTTTAAACGTTTATCATTCTCTTTAAATGTATAATTTTAGCCGTTCTCAAAATTAGTAATCTTCTAAAAATATGTTGTATTGCTTGCTGACTCATATTTGTTCATATGCTGGAGGTTCTGATAGTTCGGGGAGAACAAGACCAGATATTTTCCGTCCATATGACCACTGAACTAATTAAAGGAGCTAGCATGCATACAAGATACAACTTCCATAATTAGTCCTTGTTTTTTCCTTCTTTTCCTTTTGAGTTTTTGTTTATTCTATTAATCTAATCCTTTTTTTTTTGGACACACTATTAATCTAATCCTAATGACAAATAAATGCTACTATGATAATTGTGATTCCAACTCAATCCCTGATATCCTCCTTTTCTAGAATTGATTAATTCGTAGTTTATCTAAGACTATATAGTAGTAAATAAGAATTATAGGGTAAGGTCTTTTTTTTTTTAATATTAATTTGTTCTTGGTGTAAAGGCCATGGCCCATATAATGCTAATTACGTGCTGGCTTCTAATTGACGTGGTGCAGGATAATAAGTAAGAAGACAATATTGGAATTGACAAATGATTAATTCATCCCATGTGCCTCAAATTGAAAAACCTAGAAAATTTAACATTATTATCCTAAATATATTGAATCACATGATATATTCTTGAATTCATGACTGCTGCTATCTGTATTTATAAGAACACATTTTTTAAACATACCATTTTTTTTCTTTATTTTGTATTTTGTGATATTTCATTACTATCACTCTTCAGCCTCACTTAGTAGTAATCTTCATTAGAAACATATATAATTTACACAACATAATGACCTAAGTCAAGGCATATTAATAACAAGGTGCAATGATTTTGTAGTATAAAATCAAATTATAGGGTTGAAAAAGATTTTCTTCGCCAGCTGACACAACAAGCAAGTGGGGCCCATTGAAAACACGTGGGACTCACCTGTTTGTTGCATCAGTGCAAGAAAAAAATCTTCTCCAATCATATAATTTGTATACAATACTACAAAATCATTACACACCGTTATTAATATGCCTTAACTTAGGTTATTATGTCGTGTAAATTATATATGCTTCTAGTGAAGGTTACTACTAGGTGAGGCTGAAGAGTGATAGAAATGAAATATCACAAAATACAAAATAAAGAAAAAAAATGGTATGTTTAAAAAATGTGTTCTTAATAAATACAGATAGCACCAGTCATGAATTCAAGAATATATCACGTCCAAGATATTTAGGATAATAATGTTCTGTGACATAAGAAACCGTTACCCCTTATACTTACGCATATCTAATTACTAATTAGTATAACTCTGTCTCCACATATTTAACATCATGATGTCGATTTGCTAAGGTATCTTTCGCGCAATTTTTTTTATATATAGAAATTTAGAGTCTGAGAATAATTAACCTAGCCCAAGGTTAGGGCATATCTTTAGGTTCAATGAACATTTAAGTTGCAAACAAGAGGCCTTTAAATTCTAATTCAAACTATGCATTTATCATGAGTAAAATAATCAGCTAAGCCAACTCATGCTAATTGCTTTAAGTTGTTTATGGCCTCCTTTTTATCTTCAGCAAGGGTTTATTGCTTGTGAATTCTTTCCTCTTTTTTTATTTAATTATCTTCCTAGTGTTATTATATTGGAAAATCTTTTTCTTATGTTGATGTAGATAATTTATCTTATGTTAGTGAAATAAAATAATAAGAGGGACCTACAAATAATTGGAGAAAAAAAAATAAAGGTGGAACCTGTCTTTGTTATGTTTGTATAAAAATATGAGTTATCTTATGTTGAATCGGATAATATAACTCTATTATATTAAGGGCAGGTTTGAATTTCGTTTTTAAAAATAATTTTTTCATTTTTAGAATAAAAAAATAAAAGATTTGTTTGTTAAACTTAATTTTGTAAAAATTATTCTAAAAATTATAACTTTTTTAAATTTTAGAATTAAATTTAGAGAATATATCAAAGTTGTTTTTATTTTGTATTTTGACTTTTAATTTTCAAAATAAAAAAAATACAAAAAATATTTATTTCATTAACTATTCTATAAAATAATTTTAAGAAAAAAAAAAGCTCAAATAAACAGGCCCTGAGTTTGTCGATACCTATTACTTTTCTTTTCAACAAAGAGAAGAATATACGTTTATTGATTGGATATATCTATGGCTATTGAGCAATAGAACACTAACAAACACAATATAAACAACATTTACAATAATAACCAAATAAATCCACAATAATAAACATCCTACCTCGTAATTAAGAAAAATGACAAATCTGTTACTATTTAGCCTAAAAATATAAGTTGCCCAATCTATTACTGTTAATACGGTGTTTAATTTCTGTTTGGAACTTCCTTAATAACATGTTTGGTGCATAGTATAGGATAAAGCTTCATAGTATAAGATCTGATTGAATTTTAATATTATCCAGCATTTGGCACGGTATTATATAAAATAATATATTATATAAGATAATATCATTTAGTATTTGGTAATGCACTGTATAATACTATATATGATAAAAATATCCTTTAATAAAGAATTTATATAATTCTTCAAAAAATATCATATGATATTAATTTTTATAAAAATTTATTGACCAGTGTGTCCAAAATATAAATTAATTTTTATAAAAATAAAAATATTCGATATTTTAAAAATTAATATATTAAAAAAATAATTTTTATTTTAATAAATTAATATTAAAATAATATATTAATTTTTGAGAATTACATTGGTCAACGATGTTAATATATCAATCTCTTATCAGGCCTTATCCCTCACCCTTATGCTGGATTAAATTATACATCGTTTTGATATATTAAGGGATTATGCTATATAAGCTTATACTATACGATGGTCACACCAAATAATTGAAAATGTCATAACGTATGGTATAAGCTTATACTATCGTGCTTTATATCTCACTCCAAACAGTCCCTAATATGCATGAAAAATACAGAAGACAAGTTCTTACCTCAATCATGGTTTAAAACTTTCTAACCAAGAAATTACACACATCACAATAACATTAAAAAAAAAAATCAATCATAAACTTAAACTTGTATACAGATTACAAAGGATTTCCCCCAAATACTAATTGCATATATGATACCCTGCATTTTCCTAACAAATAATTCAGAGTTTCTATAACATTGCTGTACACTATACAACTACTTGTTATCACTTACCAACAAAAGAACACCCCATGAAGGAACAGTAGTAGGAGGAAGAAGGGTATAACATGAACACAAGAAAGAGAAGATGCGCCTGAGGCATAATAATAATAATAAGGATAGGGATATTCATGAGGTCCACCAATCACTGTAGGCTGTGCTGAACCTGATGAAGGTGGATTGTAGGACTTCAAAGGTGGTGGTGGAGCAGCCCCTGAAGAATGTGCTGCTGGGGTTGGTGGAGGAGGTGGTAATGGCAGCACTGGTGGTTTTAGCCCTAGTGATGGTGGAGGAGGATATGGTGTTAGGAGTGGAGGAGGGGGAGGATATGGTGTTAAAAGTGGAGGAGGGGAAGGATATGGTGTTAAAAGTGGAGGAGGGGGAGGATATTGTGTTAGGATTGGAGGAGATGGAGGATGTGGTGTTAAGAGTGGAGGATATGGTGTTAGAAGTGATGGGGGAGGATGATTTGAATATGAAGGTGGAGGATGATTTGAAAAAGATGTTACAATTGGAGGAGGGGGTGGTGAACATATTGTTGGACATGTGGCACATTCACTAATGCACAATAAACCACTTGAAGACTCTTCAACTTTGTCCTCAAATGTCACTCTGGTAAACAAAGCCAGCACCATGAATCCAACTTTTACAATCCAAGGAAACCAACTTTTTCTGATGAATCCCAGATTCTTGCTATGACCCATTTGAACTAAAGTAGGGTTGAGCTTGGAGAAACAAGGAAGGTATGTTTCTGGCCTAGTGAACTGAGTCATAAAGTCAGCTTTGGCTGAGTGATTATATAGATAGAACCAATGTGAGAACCAGGTAACTTCTCTCTGTGGTGTGCATTTGGCTTTTTGCAACTTAGAAGTTTGAATTATATTCTTTGATGCTTCCTTAATGAAGGGGTGTGGTGCATGGTGGAAAAGTATTAGTTCTCCCACTTTATTTTGGCCCATAATATAATTTATCAGATTTATACCCTTAATACATTGCCGTTTGCCAATGAATTCACTAAAGTCATGACTTGGACATATCTGTTATCAGTTAATTAATACACAATTTGTTAAAACTGAATGTTGCAGAGGATGATGAAATAATATCACTTGCATAAGATATTTATACATTAATTCAAGGGTCTTGCTAAGTGCCCTGACCAACTGGGAATTGCAGACATCATAAATAACCACTAATGAGTCTGATACTGTATATTTTTTCAATCTTCCCCACAAAGAAAACATGTTTATGAAAATATTGGACCTTCTTGTTACATTTTGGAGTAATCTAATTTGATATATATTTACGTAATCTGATGATAAGAATTATGGAACCCGTAACCACAGAATAATATAAAAACAGAAAAGCTTTAACTTCATTAACAAAGTTTATTATGGTAACAAAGTAATTTATTCTCCGAAGCAAAGCTTTTTCAATCTCTCTTTTTCTTATACCTTTCTCCAAACACAATCCATCTTTGCGTGGATCAATTCTGGCTTCAAAGTATTATACTACATGCTGATCAGTTTATACTTTACTTTGCAAGCTAGGATTCTGAACCACCTTTTCACTTGTGAGTTTAGGTAAATTCTTGTTAAAATAATAATATTAATAATTAAGAGTGATAGAAGCTATGGCACTATGGCTATACCCAATGAAACATGACTTACTGTAATGTCTTATCTATATTGCCGTCATGACAAGCAGTTCAAAAGCGTTCCACCTCTTTAAAGTATCACAGAATATTCTCTAACCTCGTAGATAATAAGACTCTTTATCTTTAACATCAATGAATATCAATTTTGTGGCACTGTGTTGGTTAAAATCTTGATGTGAAAACTGAAATGTCCTCCTCCTATATGTCACTCTAGTCAACACTACCACATGTCCTGAAGTTTAATGTTGTTTATGAATTATGTTTCTTATTTTTTGCATCACAATTCGACTTTCTCATCTTGGATTTCTAGGCATCTAATTGGACAAAAGTTAAGCCTTCCAATACAAGAAAACTGTTGGAAACTTACATTTACAACACAAGAATGCGTGTTGCAAAGAAGTTCAATGGAGCAAAGGGTTTCTACACGAACATGACAAGTAAGCCAATATACAAACATGTAACCTTTTTTATGTCTTTGAATGTGGACCTCGTGTAGGCGTAGGAGGGCGTGGTGAGTGGCTACAATTCTGATTATTATGTAATCTGTACCCAAAGTCTCTTAAACGATTAAGCTCTGGCACTATTACTGATGCAAGATCTGGCCTATCCTTCTTGCTGAGTTCTGCACAGCTCACTGAGAGTTTGGCAAATGCTACGGCCTCTTCAACTGGCCAATCAGTCACCCCAGGATCAAGCATATTAGAAAATGTTCCTTTTTCAATTGCCCTTTTGACTTGGTGAGCAAGCCCCATAGGAGGCTTGGCTGTGATTATCTGCATTAGCGTTATCCCCAAAGAATATATATCTGATTTGGTTGTTAACATTCCTGTTTGTTGATACTGAGGATCAATGTAACAAAAGGTTCCAGCAGCTGAAGTCATGTGATATTGTGTGACAGAATCTGCTACAGAAGGTGGAACTAGTCTTGCAAGACCAACATCACTTATTTTACTGACAAAATTTTTGTCCAAGAGAATGTTGGCTGGTTTAAGGTCCCTGTGCACAAGGGGTTCTGGCTTTGCTTGGTGAAGAAAAAGGAGTGAAGTTGCAATCTCAGCAGCTATTTCGAAACGTTTCCTCCATGGAATAGGAGGGCTGTTATGTTTCCGAAGCAATCTGTCTTCTAAGCTACCATTCTCCATGTATTCATACACCAAGCATCCATACTCAGGACATGCACCAAGGAGGAGAACCATATTAGGATGCCTAATGCTGCATAATACCTCAACCTAAAAAATGTGATCAGGAAAAAGTAGTTTTGTCAAAATTGCATAAACAAATTCTTCCACAAGTCAGAGGTTACACAATTATGATAACAAAGTAGTGAAAGACAAATCAAAGTGTTATTAAAAAGAAACAAAGTCAATTGTTATTTATCTGACCAAAGTTACTTGGAATGTTTCATATAAAGCCACCGCATATTCAGCATTAATATTTAATGCATACTTGTTAGAATAAGCAAAGTTACATACTAGCTTCATGAAGTATGATATATTAGAAAGCATTTTTATGTGAAGGATTCTTGCAAGTTAATTAAAATTCATATCTCATATATCTGAATATAAAAAACATTGCAAATATAGCATACCTCTTGTTGGAACTGCTCCCTGCCCTGGGAAGCATCAGGGTTTAAAATTTTGATTGCGACTGGGGTGTGATCAAGTTGGGCTTTAAACACAGGTCCATATCCACCTTCACCTATTTTCTTTGATGGGGAGAACTTTTGAGTGGCATGTTCAATTTCCTCTATGGTGTATTTTCTATATCGTTTATCATTTTGAGCCAACGCAGTTAATGCCCTATCCTTCTCTTCTGCCTCTCTCTTGGCCTTCATCTCTGCATGCAATCTTCTCTGTGCTTCCTTTTCAGCCATCTTCATAGCTTCCTCAGCTGCTTCTAAGGCAGCTTTTGCTTTAGCCTTCTCCTTTTTTGCCAATGCAAGAGCTGCTTCTTTAGACATCTTAGCTTCCTCAACCTTACGTGCCTCCTCCAGTTTCCATTGATTAATCTCCTTAGCCTGCCAATAAATTTCAGAACTTTTTGAGTAATCATACTTACTACCCTTATTTTATTATTGATATCAAATCCTGCTATATATGCAATGGTGAATGAAGGACTTAAGTATAATAAGTTTCATACGGTAATGGCATAATTAACATCACCTTGTTTTGGGCTGAGATTGCTTCTTTGCAAGCTGAGTTGTACATGTTCATAGTTCGCTTCAGTTGGAGCTTCAATCTTTTCATCTCAGCTTCTATCTCTCCCTGTAATGAAGTAAATATTCCATATAGTTAGATTGTTTTTCTATTAATTTTATCTTATTAATTTGGTCATATGATGGTTCTAGTTCTACATATGATCATTTTACTACTTATAGTCTTTTCAATCTTTTTTTTTTTTTTGACACTTACTGAAGATTGAGAATCTGATGCAAACCCTGAAGAATCACTTTCATCCGAGCTTGAGTCATGGCCATATGATGACCTCTGTCCACGGTTGGAGAGATCAAAACTATCCATTGACTGACTTGATGAAGAAGTTCTTGACTTCTCATGTAGATGTGATCTTTCTGATCTTCCACTGGTGACCCCTACTCTAAGTGTTTGTGACCTGTTTGCATTGCAGCCAAACCAAGATTATGAAAAAGAATTAGAACCCATTTTTTTTACTGATCTCAACATGACAATATGGCTGTTTAAAAAATTACTCATAAGTTTCATTTCATGGTACCTCACTCCATTTTCCAATTCACTAGGTGCATGTCCTGTTAGTTGTTTTGGTGGTCCAACCCCGTTTACCCTTGGTCGTAGTGCTGGTCGAGTTCCCACTATCTTCTCTTTTGAAATTACGTACACTGAACTGTATTCTGGGGCTGATTTGATTATGGCTGTAGCCACATTATTGCCTTTAAATTTTCTGAAAACAGCCACAACATTAAGAAACTTTAACATATTATATTACGGGAGAAGGTTATATTTATAAACTTTTTGTTTACAAACTATACTAAGTATGACCGGTCATACTTTAATCAAGAATATATGACCAGTCATACTTAGTGTAATTTGTAAAAAAAATTTGTAAACGGATCATTCCCCTTATATTATATATTATATATGTATGCATAGGAAACACAAAAATGTCAAGCAGGGGCTGAATTTTATGAGGACTAAAGTTATATTAAAGAAATAAAAATTAAAAAAATAAAATAAAATAGGGATGTCATGTTCCAAAACTTAACTTGCTTCCGGTCCTCATGTTCAGAGACCTTGCCAAAGTGTTCTTGGTCGAGGAGGGTGCACCAACAACGATAGTATGAATGTGATTCCTATGTGCATATTCCAAAATTCCTCTGACAACATCATTATCATCGATTACAGCTTCTTTCAACATAACCTGAATTAATTAATTAATGTGCAAAATCAATATTAGTGAGTTTAAAGTTTCAAGTACCACCAACATCATTTGATTGAATGTACAAAAATGAAGTAGGAATTAATTTTAATGAAAATCTCAAATCACATACAACTTTATGACGACACATTTGACGTAAGGGATTGAAAACATTGTCCATGTCGTCTTCGTCCGGAGGAAAAACATTGGTGCCCTCTGCATAAATCATAAACAATTTAGAAACATATATATATATATATATATATATAAAAATGATCATGACAATGCTTCTCCTATAATGACCATAAATATTGTCACGACTAAAAAAGCTTAAGATGTTATAAAATGATTTTATTATATCTCCAACATATTCATATTATACATATGTAACAAATTAATAATCTCATGTATAATTGTGTGATGAAAGATATGTATGAGAGGGTACCTACGATGAGGAATAATATTGTTTTTGTGCTTGACATGGACGGCGATGATGATTGAGTTATCAAAATGATTAGTTGTCCAACGGAAGGCATGGCCACTGTTCTTGTCTTTGTCTACAGCAACCATGGTGACGTTTAAGGGCAGCGTGCTACCATCATGGGAAGACATTGTTAAACGTGTGGCAATTGGCACTGCCACCTATAGCCGCCGCTGCCACTACCAACTCCTTCTCCACCGCAAGAAGGAGGAGAGGAAGCTTGGTTTTGGCTCTCTTTCTCCGGTTCCTCTTGCTGTCTGAAGAAGGAAATGGAAGTCCCCCATGCAACCCTCATGATCCATGATCCAAACCTACGGAACACGTACGTACAGCTAACGTTTGGATGTCATTCTCTGTCTTTTCCTTTCGATTTTTAGGCACTTTGACCAAGCCTGACCCAATAACATAACGTACGGAAGAGAGGTATAGGATCATTTGATATCGATATTAAACTTTAAAATTTGATACCAAATCATAATTGCTTATTTTCGTCAATTAACTATTATTATTTATGGAAATTAATAATTAATTAATAAATTTGATTCCCAGCAACTGATAATCATTTATTGGTGAAAATCAACTGTTAGAATTTGGTATCAAAGGATCTTATCTCAGCTTTAAGCCTTATGATTCTAAACTTTGGCAGGACCTTTCTAAATGTTGGAACAGTTTTTTAGCCGGTCTTCGATGGGAGGTGGGTGATGGAGAGACTATTAAATTCTGGGCGGATAATTAGTTGAATCTGGATGATAATCTTTGTAATTTAGCTCCTAATCATATTCCTGATCTGGAATTGCATAGAACCATTGCTGAGATCTTTCAGCATGGTACCTGGGATGTTCGATATTTGAAGCAATTCTTAAATGATGAGCTAATCTCTAAGGTGTTTTGCGTTCCTGTTACTTTGGAAGATAATACTGAGGATAGGTTAGTTTGGTTTCAGAATCATGTGTCATCTTCCTTAGTTAAGATTTCCTACTTGAGCTTGATGAATTTTCAACATGCTCAAAGGAATGTTCCCTGGAAGAAGATTTGGGACTGGAAGGGTCCAGAAAGAATCAAGACTATGATGTGGCTGGCTTTTCTTAATAAGCTTCCAGTTAGGAGTCGTACATGCAAATGGAATGGGGGTCCTAATTTTTGCATTAACTGTCCAAACAGTGAAGAAACTCTTATTCATGTCCTTAGAGATTGTTCTCAAGCCAAAAGATTGTGGATAGATTGGTTTGGTAGAAGGGTCCTCAACGATTTCTTCACATTAGACCTACAGCCTTGGCTCATAAAAAATGTGAGTAAGGGTTGGAATTATCAAATTCATGTTGATTGGAGAGATGTTTTCTATACTACTTGCTGGAATCTTTGGAGTTGGCGTAATCATCATATTCATGATGATAGTTTTCGAAGGCCAAGCAATGATAAGCGTGTCATTTCTGATTTTATTGCGCATTTAATTGAAGCTAGAGGTAAGAATAGAAGCATTCTTGGCAGCTTCCCTAATGCCCATCAGCCTACTAAATGGTGTCGTCCTGAACCTGGTCGGTTGAAGATTAACACAGATGGTGCTTCTTCCCTATCTAGGCAGCATGCTAGCTGTGGAGGCCTTGCTAGAGATCACAATGGTGCTTTTCTGGGTGGTTTCTCTTTCAGATTAGGTTTCTGTAATCCTCTTGATGCAGAACTCTCACTACAAGAAAAGTGGCAAATCCCGTCGGACGTATACAGGCGGTTACCAGAAAACCGTCTGTGAACAGGCATTTTAGGCGGTTATATAGGCGGATAAGAAGGCCGATGATGTTTGGGGTCATAACCCGTCAGAGATGGTGGCGTTTAATTAGGACCGCCTTTGTTCAAATATATTCTGAGGCGGATTGCTGGCGTTTGAGCTTCACCGCCTTCAAATATTAGGAATATCAGGTGGATCTGACGTCGGATGTTGGACGCCGTCGTTGAATTCTTGTAAAAAGAGGTTGATAGATTTGAACCGCCCAAAAAAAATTATCTCTTTTATATACAAAAATTCTTGTATATTTTTTTCTATTAATTTATTTCTTCTTCTGTCCGGCCAAACAAGTAAATAGTTTTAGTTTTACAATTCAGGGAGAAGAGGGAACTTGCGAAAGTGAGGAAGAGTGAACGAAAGGGCAACAGAGCAGTGATGATTGAAAGGGAAAAATTAAGGATCTTTCATGGCAGTAGGATCTTGCATCATTGTAAGCTCGAATATCATTTAGTTGGTTTGGGCAAGTGACTTGAGGGTTGGTTCGTTCTTACTGTCCAACGCTCGAGGGTCTCAGAAGGTGCATTTTTGGTGAGGGCAATGTCAAGCACTAACCAAAAATGCATATCTTCTCCATTGCTGCTGAAAAAGAAAAGGAGAATCCCACGAGCAGATCTAAGTCATCTGACAACTCCATCGCTGCTGAAGAAGAAAAGGGGAATCCAAAGGTATTTGATGTACAACCCCTTTCTTTATCTAATAATTTTCCAAAAAAAGAGCACTAAGTCACTTTGGTTTCGTAGAATAGTAATTGATTGTAGCTATGAGGACTCCGTATGTTTGAAGCAATGTCCCTAGCACTAAGTCATATCCCAACTTACCTATTATTATTTTGTAATTAGGGAAATTGTGACTGATATTAGGTAAGCACCGCACTTAGGTTATTATGTTAATTATTTGTTATTAGTTGGCTGTGAATGATTGTTATTAGTTGCATTTGATGTTTTATTGGTTGAGCTTGTATCATCTCTCTGATTGAAGTTTTACACTAGTATATAAAAGTCTGCTTCTATTTTTGTAAGATTATAATTGAGGTAATTAAGTAATAATAAACAGAACACTTTATTCTGTCAATTACATTTTTTCTGCAACTGAACTTCTCTGATAAGATATCAATGCTCAATTAAGATATACTTTGTTTAAATTCAACAGACTTTGGTTGTTGCTATTGTATATCAACTTAAATCAGTCAGCTGATAAAGCACAGTGCATCCCCCAAAATGACAATTGTAAGCAAGGCAGTAGCATCATTTCATATTTTGTAGCCAAACTCTATGCTGAATTTGTTGGTGGAATACTTGGCAGTTGGTGTTTCTCTTCCACTTGCACTAAGCTATCCAGAAGCTATTGGAATGATATGGTGGAGGTTCTTGAAGATTTCGATGAAGAGCAAGGTATTTTAGTTACCCCCTTATTAAGGTTGCCAGTTTTAGGACAGTGTTTCAAAGGCACATGGACCATGATCAGGTGAGGAGGATTCCTAAAGAGGAGATGTTTCGCTTCTCTCATCAGGTTCCTAATTACTTGCTTACTAGCCAAGAAGCTCATAATGCTCCAAAGGACTGTCGAGAGTTGGATCCAACAGCTACTCCTTTAGACCTCCTTCAGATAATCACAGAAGCTAATGAGGCATTGGATGATGTTTAGAAAGGCTAAGGAAGACACGTAGCCTAGTTCATCTGAAGAACATGCATTTGGAATGGGAGAGAGAATGCTTCAAAACCTTGTAGGGCAGAAATGTTACACGAGGATGGTAAACCGAAAAAGGATGACAGTGCACAGTGTAGAGAAATTGGCGTGACTGATTATGCAATAGGCTTGAGAAATTAAAATGAAGATAGCTTAGCATGTGATTACTAACTCTGCATGCTCTGGAAACCCATTTATTTAATATGGAACCTCTTTTATTTTGTTTGTTTAACACTTAAATAGTTTGTGAACTTTATGAAGTTAAGTCCCTTAATTCCCCATTGACATTTAAATTTTTGTTTGATTCATAGAAAGATTACAAGCGGCCTTTTGTAGAATATGATGGAAAACCCATACTTAGAAGGATGTAGACAAGAAGAAAAAGGTACAAAGTAGGGAATCAATGATGGAGAATTTCTTATCTTAGTTTGTTTCGAAACAGGTTTGGTTTTCACTTGAGATATAGTGTTTTTGGCTTTTCATTGATGAGTGCATCCATTCATTGGATTTTAGGTTGACTGTAGTCTAGGTGAGTATGAAAACATACATAGTTTAATTGGATCTCATCATTCTTTTGATTTATGCAACATTTTTAATATTTCTATAATATTCACATAGATTATTTTTCATCAACCAAATCTCCCAAAAAATAAAGTCACTGTGGCGGAGCTTACAAAGGCAAACTTTGACAGTTGCAACACGAACCAAATCATCCAAGCCTTGGCAACATGAATCAAGCTCATTTGGAGAAGTCGTTGGGTTGCATATTGTTCTTATATTGTTAGCGACTTGTTTTGGATTTTAAATTATTATTTTGAGGAGGAAATGCTCGCCAATTTTATAAAATTAAATCCTTCTCTTATGTTTATTTGTAATTTATATTGCATACTGCTTCGTCGTTAGTATGGAGTAATCTTGTTTCACGGTTTTTCTGGGCATCCATGGATTTTTTATTGCTTATGTCATCATGCAAGATATTTTAAGGATGATAATTGCTTGACTGCAAATTGTGATATGATTGAAACGACAAAAGCAATTTCATACGTTTTATTCTTTTGTTTAGAAACATTTATTTTTCAGCAAATGGATATAAGTATATAAAGTGTTGTAAAATGAAAGAATGATTTTTCAGGAAACTGGATGAGAATTAAAAGAAAGAAGGAACAATTTGAGTTATATTTCATTTGATGTACTGATATCAGTGGGAATATGAATGACAAGGGCTCTAAATTGTTTGAGATAGATGAACAAAAACATAATAGTACACAGATAGCTCCGGCAATTTAGAACCTTAGAGTGAACCCGTTTGAAACTTTCTCCAATATCTCCAAGTTCATCCAATGAAGTTTCTAAACCAACCATCGAAGATATATATACATACACCATGGACCCAACCATCCAAGACAAAAAGAATGAAACACATTGTTGGTATCAAACGATGCTCACGACAAAAAGAAGAAAACATGTTGGTATCAAATTTGAGTAAAAATTGTTGGTATCATCACACACATCTAATCTCGTCCATCACTATTAAATGAGCTCAACGTATCAGATACAGCATCGCATAAACCATCACTGCAAAAACAATAATCAAACTATCAATTGTGAGGCCTACAAATTATGAAGCAGTTATTGGAAAATAAAACAAAACACATGCACCTAACT